ACTGGTGTGGCAAAATTTGGGAACTCCTCCGTACTAGGAATTGAGGCTGTATCGTTACGCCACAATCAACGGATCCGGTTTTTCAAGCATCTTGGCAACTCCTTACGTTTGCATTGAGCTGAGCCACTTCCGAGTCGCTTTAAAAGGATCCATAGAAAATCAAATTCTTCCATCACTGTGAAAAGAAGAACTCTTCGAAAGTGCAGCAATATAATCGCTTTTTCAGTTTCCTGTCACATCTGCACTGCTGGAAACATGCTTCGGTCGCAATACTAACAAAATGAAGAATCATATGAAATATGTACTCGGGCTCTCCACAAAGATTCTGAATAAATCTTTGTACATATTAGGTCGTACTCACTTCAGTTATTGGCAAAATAGGAGGTGAAGTCGTCAGAGTTGTCTAATCCGAAGGACACTGGACGCCTAATTTCACTCATAGCAGCACGTGGATATTCCGTGATCAACCTTACTTTTCCCTTGAAAAACATTTCAGTATGTAGTCGAACTCTCATTCGCGCCTGTCCTCATTCCTACCTCTACAGTCTGGGATTTGCTCTCATGATGTCGAGGCTGTAGACTAGACCTTCCAAAGGACATGAGGAAAAGAGATGCTGTCATACCGTACTATTTTTCGTGGATAGTTCGTGGTTTTTACCCCATTTGTTGGTAGGATCCTTTACTAAGGATTTCCCCACTCTTTTCTACGTGTTGAATAGGATTTTATGTGGGAGTAGGTAGATAGGGGCATTTTGTATGGAGGTTTTGGTGGAGTTTTAAGCAACACTTTTTGATACTTCGGCATTGGGTGAGAGGGAGCTCTTATGGACCTGGCCGCTGGGAGGAGGTGTAGTACTTCTTCCAGACTTTTCCTCTCCTCCTTTGACCTGCCTCCTCACGTTCTCTCACGTTGAGGCTCGCCTTTCATCCGAGTCCGTTTTCCGTGAGGACTCCCATTTTCATCTGTTCAACTCGAAAAGCCTCACAAACTACGTAGCCATCGTGGGACGCTTTCAAGATGAATGCAGAAGTAAGCTCTGAATCTCAAAAAATTGCGGTCCGAGTTCCCTGGGACAGTCCATTTAGTCGGCGTTTTCAGTAGTGCGCACATTCTTCCTCCCACCTAAGAATACGAAGTTATACGAGTCACCAATAATGTGGACTTTCCGGTCAGCTGAGGGCAGTTTCAGGGTCAATTACCGGTAGGAATTTCACCAATGGAGCTAGTTGTGATGAAAATCTTATGCGAAAATGAACGAGGATCTGTAGAATTCACTTTGTTTCGAGGAGTATGTACAGCTCTCGCAGCTCGTCAATTTGGCCGAAAGATCGGAATGCGAGCTTGAGTGCGTAGTAAGTCCTTTATAGTGGTACCTTTATAGTAGTACCGCCCCTCCTCCTCCAGAGGAAAGGTGTAAAAATTTCGAAATGACGATTGATCCTGGCCACGTCCTGCTGCAACTGAATGGACAGTTGCACCATAGTCAGTTAGGCAAAACGAGGGATGGTTTGGACCTTGTCTGACCTCATTTTTATCTTATAGGCTCTTTACCCGTTCGAATATTACCTGATTTTTTAAAGGAATACGAAAATAAGCTTTGCAATAATGTGTACAGCAACACCAAGAATTATTCAGTTTTATTTCAATGCAGTTTTGAGCGAAATGAAGGATCTCGAACCGCAATGAGACCTGATAAATTCTCCAATGGAAGACTCAAAATTTCATTTCAATTTCAGGATGAATTTCATAATATTTCACAGAAAATCCAGTGATCTAAAAACGGCGCTATCACAATGTACGAGGGCATCCTTCACGACTGATCCTAGGAGGGGAACATCGAGGAAAATAAAAAGCATCCCCTGTCTTTAATCTCCACCCCTAAGGCTTAGTCCCAATTTTTAACAAACAAGGAATGATGCCCAATTTCTAATGCACGGCCACCAGAATGCCCCCTATCTTGCGATAGCGCCCAAATAAAACTTACAGAATCACCAAAAAACTAATGGCATATACATACATAATTACAGTAAAAACGCAACAATAATGCACTTAGTGATTTCAGGAAAAAAAGAGGAACAGCGCCCTTGATAAATAGTTTGTGCCGCCTACCGTAATCGAAACTTCTGCAGAGTAGAAAGGTGTGGAGTGGGTTTGAAAACAAAGGCAAAATGGTTCGCGCACCTCGAAGCTCCCTCTGCGAAAATTGCGATCACTCTAGGCGGCACGACTTACTACCACTTCCCCCCCCCTCCTCCTCCTTTCCAAAACATTTCCGAGAATGATGATCTAGAGGTTTCGTCCTGGCATATGCAGTGTATTAGCTTGTATACTTTTGAAGTTTATAGGGCTAAAAAAGATGTCAAGGTAATTCTGAATCTGTCTCGGCTCCTCTATCGGTTGTTGCTGCTCAGAAACGCACGGCTTTCGAATAACACCCACACCAGCTCCTGATCGTCTAGAAACACGAGTTACTTTGTCAGCCTGTAGTGGGCTAGAGAAGTTCCAAAGATCAACTGAACAAAACAAAGGACACAAAAATGCTGAAGCTAACCGATCTTTTGTGTTAATGTGATTTTTCCAAAAGTTCAACTCCTTGTCGTACACTTCAATGTATGCATCACCCACAGCATACAGCTTTTCATTGACGACGGCCAGCGTCATCTGCGAACGGAACCTTTTTAGTTTTGCCATTTCGTGCTGAAAAATGACGGTAGGAAGTGCAAACCCACAGTATTTTCCTTGTTGTTCAAAGCAGCCACTTCGATCCATGCATTGGCGACAGGGTTGTATTTCTCGCCCGAGCTCAATGCGGTGGTTCCCTGCTGCCCTCCTACGATGTACAAATGACCGTCGAACATTGCAGATCCCGAATGTGATCGACGTGTTGACATCGGACAAACATCTTCCCATTTACCAACACGAGGGTCAAGCCTGAAGAGATAACGCGTCGGCAACAACATGGGCCGTATATGGTCCGCACTTCCCAGCCATTCGGGACAGCGTGGGCCATATAAGGTCCACACCCATGTAATCTATTTGTGTGTACACAACTTTTTTACGAGTAGTTCATATTTATTTTGCAGATTCTACTCCGACATGACTTAAATGGCGTAGTTCAAGGAGTGTATTGCTTAGCACAATTTTCTGAGATTTCAAACTTTCTAGTTGCTTTTTCAGTAATATGTAAATAAAAAGAGCAACAGAAGCTGAATACAGCACTCTATAGAAGGCTATGCGTTTCGGCTGAATCGAATTCGTGTGTTATTGTGTTCGAAAACTGGAAAAGAAAAGCAAAAAGGAATCTTAAGGGGGGAGGGGCGAAAAAAGCAAAAAGCTCCATGGAAAACACTGAAGTTTCCCTTGTGACGTCGACCATGGTATAACGGAGAGACATAGCGCTGCGAGGGGAAAACGCGGAAGGGCCCAACGCAATGTCGCGATTGATAAGGATGGCAGCGCTGACGGCGGAAATGGCACGGTTTTGTTAGGATTGGCCAGCGCTGACGGCGGAAATGGCACGGCCACCTCGATCTTGTCGAGCATTTTGGAGTCGGATGGCGTCACGACTTCTGTGCTTGGTGACCCCACTTTCACACTCTGAGAGGGACTGGCTCTTAGGCTCCTAATCCCGACTTGTAGCTTTGACATCTTGTACTTTTTCACTATGAAGATACGTTTTTCGGTCAAAATTCCACTACTAGACCTTCAGAAAAAGCATTAGCCGTAACTGAAAAGATTTTGAGTGATTCATTTTTTATACACTTACAGCTCAAAACATGCGTTTCCGCAGTGGCGCTCGCCGGCCCGCGTCAATGAAGCCAAAACTTGCACGGGCGTTAAAGGACGAATTCACGATCAGAGGGAAAATCGAATTAGGAAGAATTCACCTGGTTGAGGGACCCGCGGAGCTCCTAAGTGTGCGAACTGAAGCACAATTTGCACAGGAGGAGTTGACCTCGTTGACCTATTAAGGTTTAATCCCGCCGCGGCTGGTCAGTGCACGCCCACCGATCATCTGATCACTCGCCGCAGGTCTATACGTGGTGAGTGATTAGATAGGTGAGAGAGCGTAGCGTTGAAGAGGGCACAGCGATGATAGTCGCATCAATGCTCAAATCAACGGGCAAGGAAGGGGTCCCATTTCTCAGGGTTCTGGGCCGTTTCTCATGGTTTTTCCTTCTTTAGTGTACCACTCACCATCGCTAAGTTAATTTGAAATGGGTTGCCTTTCCAGCGTGAATTCGTCCTTTAAATGTATTGAAGCTCTACACATAACTGCGATGGGTGGTCCTCTTCCGTAAGGGATAGGTGGAATTGCAAGCGCAGAGCTGTGATTACAGTGTAATTTTTATGCACACTGATTCACCTTTCGACAGTACTCCACGTTAGCCATCCATCTCGTCCTCCGACAGCGTACAAACATCCATTGACCACTGCGACAGACACTCCACACCGGCGTGAACGCGTAGGCGCCACGTTGGTCCATGCGTTTCGGCCAGGATCATAGCTGCAATTAAAAGGCTTACCAAGAGAAAAAAAAATTTACCATTACGCACTGTACACACACATACCGTTCAACAACGTTCAGACATTCCGTACCCCTCACTCCACCCTGCGAGGAAAGCGCCATCGCAGCAACACCGCAAGATTCCCGAATCGTGTGCATTGAAGCGATGTTCGACCACTGGTTAGTGACGGGATCAAATCTGAAGTTCCAAAGTCATGTCTGATTCTGCCCTCACATGGCTCCAAAGAAATTACGTAAAGTCGAGTTAGACTGCCGGAGGTTGTCAACGCAGGGTCCCATCATAAGAGTGAAGTGGAGGGTAAGGGACAAGAAGTCACGCCTCTTCATTGAGCGTCAGCACACAGCTAACCATAAGTTCACATTGCCAGGGCAGGAGAGGTAGATGAACCTCTTGCCCTTAAAATGTGAAGGGACCCCGCCGACAAGTTCGAACAAGCCTACCGTAACTGTCTAAGTCACGATAAAAAAACTGCCATCGAAGTCTTCCTCCAAATCTACGGTAAGTTTTCTTTTCAATAGGCTTACAAACACTTTTATTGATGTTCAGCAGCCAAAAACATAACGTGCGTCCGTTGTTGTGTTTAAACCAACCTCATCAAAACCAGGGTTTCTCTTCTTTCTAGCTGTTTGAATACAAACAATACCTCTGAATGCTGTTGACGAAGAGATGGAGCCATCATGGCCGCAAAAGAGTAGAGTAGATTGTCAAGGAACAGCACCTTGCACTTTTAGTCTAAAATGTCATACATTGGCTTGCTCATGGAAGCAGCAGGCTTCCACACAGGGCTTGCTTCTCCAGGATCAATCCATTCTACAGAACTGAGAGGCTGCGATCCGCGGAATCCTCCGACTGAAATTCATATCTAACTGCAATTCTCGAGATGAAATTAAGAATGTGGTCGTTTAACAGACACACACGCCTTATAATAGACGTAACCCCTAGGTTCCCTATGTAGGGCGCCTGAACAGTGGTGGGGGAATCTTAAGGCAGTGATTACGATAGATTCAAGAAGGGTTTATAGGAGACTGGTGGTGCTCAATGGTACGCCAGTGGCGAAAAAAGCGGAGAAATCCGTCAAGAAAACGCAAAACGGGACCCCTTTTTGGCCGTTGGTTTTCACTCATGAACAGGTAACAGCTCAGAAAGCGGACGTATGAACGAGTTCAGCGCAACGCGTTTGGTGACACATGCCAATCCATGCTCGACGCAGCTCGTCCAAATCACCAACTAAACTAGTGGGCGGATCGCTTTTGGGGGCGGAGTGCTTTCGAAGTCCTGCTCAGCAACCAGCGCACCTTTCGTCGTGAAAGCGCTACACCTCGCTTCCCTGGCAGCCAAGTAACTGATTCGTGTGGTGCATATGCTTCCCGATCCCACTTTATCGTAATCGCTGCCTTTAAAGGCATATTACTCCATAGCAGAAGGGGAGCATTCCGCTCTGTGGGTAACTTCACCAGAGCTGCGCGACCATTGAAAGCTAAGGTTAGGCTTGGGTTTGGGTTTGGCTTAGGCTTATGCTTGCACATTGGGTTATGCTTAAAGGCAAAAGTCGGGCTCAATAAGGGGTTTATGGCGATTGAAACCGAGTATGGAGATTGCAAGCGTTCCTGCTGCTTCATGCTCCTTCTTCCAAACGTTTGCCACAATCTTCTAAAAATCGTCAAAAACGACTCCCTCTCCCACAAACACGGTCCCTACGACTCCTACAAAATACGACTCGAATGGTCCTGCTTGCCAGTGAAGAAAAATGGAAATAAAATGCCGAAAACCTTTTAAAGGGCATTTTAGGGG